AATTACAAACACTCGCCTGTGGCTGTGGTGCAGGGGAAGGTGCAGATTTGTGGAGTCTGAGGAGAGGCTGTGGAAGAGAGTGGGTTGGGGAAATGTGACCAGGAATCCAGCACTGTGTCATTCCTGACTCTCCAAACCTCAGCAGTCATTTTTCTCCTGAGGAGCCAGCACCTCCCAACAGCCTCAAGATAGCTAATACAGCCACATCAGCCTACACCGGGAGCTGTACAAAGGAAACAGACTCTGAATAGCCCTAAAGACTGGGTTAAAAAGGGGTGTTCAGTCCCTGAAAGTGATACAGCACCTAAACCCTGTGAAAAACAGTCGCTTGAGAGATTAAGATTGACAGCAGGCAGACAGGCAAAACAGGCAGAGTGGTCCCGCCAGCTTGCAGCCAAGATTGTGGAGACAGACACAGAGGAGCAGTGGATTGCTTAGAAATTCAACACAGTGCTGACTACCTAACAGGAAACTGAGTAGTGGCAGACAGAACAGAAGAGTGGGGTCTTAAACCAGCCCCTATGGGGTATTAAAACCCGGCTGAAGTGAATGACACTTGAAAAAAATTTCTTTTCTTTATTTTTTGTTTATTTATTTTCTTGTATTTTTTCTTCATTGTGTTTTCATATTGGTATTTTATTTTATCTTTTTACTTCTTTTTTCCACACCCTTTTCTTCCTCACGTCTCCCTCTTTCATTCTGTTTTCCCTTCTCCTTTTCCCGCTTTAGTTTTTCTCTTTCCTTTCTTTCAACCCTTGGTAAAAATTGATCTTCTTTATCTGCTTTATTGATGTGTTATTATTATTGTAGTCTCTGTTGGCTTACTCATTTATTTAATTTCCTCTCCCCTGCTCCAAGTTTATGCATCCTTATCCTTTCTGTTTCTTTGCTGGTCAATTTTTTTACACTTGTTTTTCCTCTCCTCTTGTTCTCTTCTTCTCCTCATTGTTTAATTAGTTTCACTCAATAAACTCAAGCTTACATGCTCTCCCTTCTATTCTCCTTTTCAAAAAAATGGATGAATGAATGAATAGATGAATTTAAAAACTATATATTTGTTTTAGCTTATTATCTATTTATTTATTTATTTTTATTTTTCTTCTCTTCTTATTCACTCATTCTTTTTCTATCTCCTCTATACTAAATCATGGTCCATGAATTACCCTATTCATTCAATTCCTTACCCTTACTTTCTGTATATAAGCTCTGCCTCTACAGATTCTGTCCCCCACCTTTGTTTGGGTATTATTTGCATTTTTTGGTTCATCTGTTTGTTTTGTGGTGTTTTCTCCTCATATTTCTTTCTTTCTTTTTTTCTTTTCTCTCTTACCCTTTTTTCCTTTCTTAATATCATTTTTGATCTTTTTTCTCCCTCCCAATTCTTTTTTCTCTGGTGGTCACTTTTTTATGGGTTGTTGGAGTCATGAGTTCATTCATGTTTTCTTCCCTTTGTGTTGTGTCTTGTTGAGTTGTATTTTGTGTTATTTGGTCAACATGATAGAGAGTACACTCAAGATCCAACTATACCAGGAGTACCCAAATATCCCAAGTAGGGGGCATCCCTAGATAACCCAGTTCCTAAGACCTGAAAGATTGCACCTTGACCCCACAAAACACGACTATATAAGACAAACTCAAAAAATATAGGTGGCATAGCAGTTTGATCTAATATATAGAAACAATCACAAAGAAACATTAAAATGGGGAAGCAAAAAATCAACCCCTATAGGAAAGAAGAAGGAGGAATCACCAGAAAAGGAAATAAATTAAATTCGTCAGAGAAAAAAATTCTGAGCAATAGTTTTAAGGATGCTGAAAAGGGTGGAAGAAAAATTCAAAAACATGTGTAAGAATCAAGAGAAAATGAAGAATGACATAGCTACAATGGAAAGCTTCAATAGTAAACTAGAAGAAGTTAAAGACTGCATCAGCGAGTTAGAAGACAAGATAGAAAAAAACGAACACCCAAGCAGCGCAGCAACTGGAAAAAAAACAAAAAACTTAAAAAGCAGGAGAAGAGCCTAAGGGTGCTTTGGGACAACATGAAATGAAACAACATCCACATAATAGGGGTGCTAGAAGGAGAGGAAGCTGAGCAAGGAATAGAAAACCTATTTGAAGAAATAATGACATAAAACTTCCCTGATTTTGGGGGAAAAGTCACACAAATCCAAGAAGTACACAGAGTTCTAAACAGTATGAATCCCAAAAGACTGACACCAAGACACATAATAATTAAACTAGAAAACATCAGCGACAAAGTAAGAATCTTTGTAAAGAATCAAAGTAAAGGCTGCCAGAGTGAGATAGAAAGTTACCCAGAAGTTATCTCCCATTAGACTATCAACTGATTTATCAACAGAAACACATCAGGCCAGAAGGGAATGGAATGAAATATACAAAGTGATGCAAAGCAAGGGACTGAATCCAAGAATACTATACCCAGCCAGGCTATCATTCAAAATTGAAGGTGAAATCAAGAGCTTCACAGATAAAAATGGCTTAGGGGAATTTATTACCACCAAACCAGTAACACAAGAAATCCTACAGGGACTGGTGTAAAAACAAGAACTACAAGGGAAGAAGAAGCACAGGCATAAAGAATAAAAATGGTCTTGTTCTTGCCTCTGCTTCAGCACAGCCTGACTGAGCAGCTCCAAGTGTCAACACGCAGCGGCTTGTCGGCTTGTCAGACAGCCAGGGTTTGGGGCTGAACAACATGAACTGGATCTCGGTTTCTGCGTTGCAGGCGGAAGGGAAATTGAGAAAGAGCAGCTCCTGAAAGGCAAGATGCTGTAAAAAGAACAAAAAGAGGAAGTTATTTGTTTGCTTGGAATTATTTTGTTTCCTTAGATTCTTGTGATGAACACAGATTTGGAGTCATTGCTGCTGGTTGAAACCGACTTCCCCTGAATCTCAGGCCTACCCTCTCTGTGGATCTTCCTCAGACCTACTACCTAACACCTACGCAAGGGGGTAGCCTGGAAAGAAAAAAAGAGGGGACAAGATAGCAGTGGAATAGGCAGGTGCATCCCAAGGCTTGTCCCAGAGCAAATAGAATGAGCAGCTAAAAACAATAACA